CTCAGAGCTCTGACCTCAATTCTTTTCACGGTCTAACAAATGAATCATAATCCCATCATAATTTCCTTTTTGTTAAACCTAGTCTTGGGCCTTACAATTGGGCTTTTCCCATAATACCCTCACTAACCCCTCTTAATTGTCCAAATTGCCCTTATTCAACTTATATTTATTTTAATTAATAATAATATTAATATATTCATATTATATACTATTATTCAAAATAAATAACCCAAAATGAATTAATTCTCAATATTCCACAATAACCACCGAAAATCACTGAAATGCGAATATTTTATTTAAATTAATTAAATAAATATTCTCAAGGAAATTTGGGGTGTTACAGATAGGACCAGGGGTGTTCATGCTAGGTTTGAGTTCTTGAAGGAGATATATGATGAGGAGATCGTTGTTGCGGAGGTGGCTAATGGCGATCCTGAGTAGGTGGCGGCACATAGGGCCCATGCTTTGAGGGCATATTTTCTTTTTTTTTTGGTTGGCACTTGCAATTTGGTGGAATCCATATATCTCCTCCAAGAACTCAAACCTAACATGAACACCCCAACTTTGAATCCATGAATAAAACTAGGGGGATGGCTTGTCTGCCCTATCTATATTCGAAGTTGAAAGATGGATGTCGGTGGAAGACAAAGCAGGTCACAGACAGGACAACACTACTGGTGGTAATAATTTTTACCCTTAAATATTTTTTTTTATCTTACCTTTTTCATTTCATATTGCGAAACCATTGCCGATAATTCTTGATCTCAAAATGAATTTTATTTTTATTTTCATTTCAAGCTTGGATCCTCCAGCACTTCCTGCGCGTATCGCGGCTGGACGAGTGTGGATGTTTACACTAAGGACATGTCTTGTGCCTGTACTTTTATCCCGCTGAGAGAGAACCATATGGTCGAGCCTTTCAGAGTTTATCTTGACCGCTTGGTTGCTGAGGACATCCAATTCAATAGCCACATAGATCACCGTCAGACACGACCATTTGACGACATATCTATATACTCTGGATGGTTGGCTTGCAGATCCCATATCACTTCTCCTCATCTTTCTGAGTGCGTCATGCGACAGTTTGGGTACACCCAGACCATCCTCATACACCTTGTTGTCTCTGCTCCTCTTGCCTTGTCTCGTAGACAGATAGTGGAGATGTTCATTGATTATGAGAGTCACCTGCTGCCAGAGGAGGCTCGAGCTACCATAGTGTCGAATGACTGGAGATACATCGACGAATACATCAGGTGGTTCTGTAGGGTCTCGCATCTGTACATGATGCCGACTGCTCCAAAAGATCCGTCGAGACCAACTCATTAGGAGATTTTAGAGGAGCAGCAGGCTCAACTTGTCATACCGAGGATGTCTTGCCTCGTTGTTGTCGCATAGTGGAGATTGCGCGGGCAGACATTGACGAGGGTATTTTCTTTGAGGAGTCTGCTGTTAGGGTTGTCCTAGATGCCATTGTCGCGGAGGCACAATGGACACTGTTGTACCGTAGATATTGCTGGAGGACGGGGGGTGGTTGATAGCTGAGGAAGCAGAGGAGGTATATGAGAGGTTGTCATGCAGACTCAATTGTTGTCTGTTATTATTTTGATATTGTATTATAGTTTGTACTTTATTCCTTACATTGTTACTACATTTTGAATCTCATTTTGTACGACATTTTACTATTGTATTGCTATATTATTTCTGACAGACATAATATTAGTCTTTTATTAATTCGTACATTTATTTTTTTAAATTGAAAACAAATGTAGAGCTCATCATTAAAAAAAAACATGTCCTAATACACTTCGAAGATGTATCTCCAAAATATTACCTGAAGTGCATCTCTAGAACAATTCAAATATAAATGGGATATGGGTGACAAGTTCTGAATGCTTAACATTTAAATATATCTTCAAAATTTATCAACATTTATTCAAAAATTAGGTGTGTCCGAAGATGTATCTAAAGAATAAAAAAATATATATATATAAATTCACATGAAGCATAAGAAATATCTAGAATAAAAAAAGAAATTTTCGAAATTATTTGATCTCGTGTTTTCCTTTATACAAAATAGCAGAAGCGGTTTCCTTTATGTCGTGAGATCCGTCCTACTATTTATATTATGAGCAAAATAAAATGTTGCCAGATCCGGCTCAGTATTTATATTCTTGAAAAATATACATTCAGTTGACCATAATTGCCGAAAACCGTCGTGATGGTTGATCAAGGATGGCAGAATTGATTCTTCGCAAAGTTACAAATGTACTGTGGTATTATATCTCTCAACACTCCCCCTTCAAACCGTTTTGAAATAAAATATCTCCACCACAATCAAATGGATCTACTTGAACTTAATTTGTATTTGAAGGTTTTCTAGTTCAGCAATCACCTCCAAATTCAAGTCTGTAACAAGTTTTTCCAGATACAGCAGTAGCTAAATCATTAACAAGGTCATGCAAGACAAAAATTTGGCCATTAATATCATCATGCAATTGTTGAATCAATGATCTGGATAACAATTCAGTAAAACACTCATCGCCTACTTCTTCCATGGTTTTTCCGTCTTGAGAATGATCAAGGAAACCTTCAGCCATCCACAACAAAACCAATTGCTCCCTATCAAGTGAGTAGTCCTTTGGAAAAATGTTTGTCCTCTAGAATCATCATGCAGTTGTTGAATCAATGATCTGGATAACAGTTCAGCAAAACACTCATCACCTACTTCTTCCATGGATTTTCCGACACCTTCCATGCCTAAAATTGCAACTACCTCTATATTTATCTTGCTAGTGCCATTATCTGATAGCAGCATGTTCATTACTATCTCTTTGTCCTCTTTTCTACCAACCATGACAGATTCATTGACCATAGAACTTGAAGGTGTTCTATGAGAAACTCTAGCACTTTTAGTTTGCAAACCAATGATATCTTTATGTTGTGCAAAAAGTTGCAAGCTTTCACACATGATCTTCATTTGGGAATTGATATCTCCATAGATGTTTTGAAAAGGAGAAGAAAGGAAGTTCCACACCTGATTAGTTTTGCTTGCAGCTTGCGTGTTCTCCATCTGGCATCGAAGGGAATCATAGCTAATATGGTTGAGCAAATCTTCAGCATCGTAGACAGCATCTTTCAAGCCATCAAGCCATTGTTTGACAGAAGGAGTGTTGATCTGCTTCTCCTCTGCAGCATCTAGCACAGGTTGAATAGTGAGTAGTGTTTGTCCTAACTGTTTCATTTTAGGAATAGATTTTAGCATATGATACTATTTAGAGTTATATCTTGTAGTAGACATGGAGAATCACTTACAAGCAATGAGCATTGGGTTCTTTCAGTATTTCTTTCTGAATTCGAATCTCCCGCAATAAAAATACATTTCAATAATCACACTCATACATTTCAATAATCTGACTAGGCAAATCTCCCCTTCGATTAGGACATTTAAATAGCTTCAGAGTTTTAAGACAAGGAAAAGGAAATTTTCGGTTTTGAAAAGACATTTGAATAGCTTCTAGTTCAACAATTTGCTTTGGCATCTCTGTTATGGCATCTTTGAAAAATCTAGTAACACAAGATTTAGTGTTCTTGTCTATTAAATCAGTGAGAATATGGATGTAAAAGTATAATATTTAAATGTAGAGTGGAATGGAGAATTAGTATCTGCATCTGTTATGCAATAGAACTAGCCCTTCCAAACGAAAGTAATGTTAGCGGTTATTTTCGACGTACTATAAATAGGAGTCTTAGTGTATGAGATTTCGTGTGTCCAATCATTGTACAAATACTCATAAATTACTCAAAGTATCTAAGTGTAATTGAGAAACGTGTTCGTTGAGAATGTACGTCTGAAACACTGTATTTTCATTTTAATTGAAGTTATTTTCAGTTTTATCAATTACCTTTTCATTGCAATTTACTTTGAAGTTTTTTTATTGTAATTCCTTTACAAATTTTGCAATTTACTTTTAAACTGTAAACAATCTTCTACAATTATGGGTTTTGTCGAAGTGTTTTTAAGACTTTCAAATATAATTTGAACAATAACACATGTCATATGATTCACTAATTGATCCTGTAAAGTAAACAAATTTTAATCTACAACCAACTCATACATACATAAACCAACAAAACCAGACAAACTTACTAGTTAGCTTAGCCAAAAAAAAAACATGTTATAGCATCTTTCTGTTCTGACATCAAATTAGCAATGGTAGTAGACAAATTTTCAAAACTCTTGTTCAAGAAGAAGAATCACCACAAGTGTCATCCTCAACCAAATGAAGACATATCATCTTCATCATTTCATGCTTTTCACTCTCATGTTTCCAAACTCATTGGCCAAGCCACATTTTCTCTAGCTCATGGTTTGAATTCGACTTTGGTGGAAAAGGAAAAGTCACATTCTTTGGCTAGAATGTATTTGAAAGCAATTCAACCATCAGACTGTTTTAGCTCCAATTTTGGTAGATATCTTCACACAAAAGATCAAAAGATCAAAATGCAGCCAAAGAGAAAACTGTGCGGGTTAAAAAAAAAAACTACTTGAAGTATGGGAGTTGATAATTTATTTAATGATGTAACGAGTCAGAAACTACATGTTAAATTCTACAATTGCAAAGAGAGTGCAAACTTTATAATTAAAAGAATCATTCACCATTGAGTTCACACATTTCAATATAAGGCAGTGCAGAAAAGGTAACTGATTACAATACAAAATAAATATTGATTTTGTATCTTGCCAACATCCTATAAGAGGCAGGAGGTTCGAGTTGGTCCATGAGTTATTTCTTTTGAAAGATCAAATAGGAAGGGTTAACAGAATAATATAACTACATCCCACTTAACAGACAAAGAATTAACAAGTTTTTTGTGCATGTAATTATCAGGAATTTAAAAGACAGAAAAATCTAGTTAATAAAACCAAAAAAAGAAAGTAATATTCATACCTGAAACAGGATTGAAATTCTTGATTCTCTTGACTTCTCAATGGCCATGATTCATATTGTGAGCTGGCCATTTATTTTTATGACTGGGATGTGAGCAATTTTGGACCAATGTTCCTCCCTTTTATACCTTTCTTCTAACAATCGGCAATTATAAATGTATAGTTGCTCTAAAGAGGTAGGGAGGTTGTCTTCTAGCAATGACTCTAGTCTTGGACAATCCCTGAAATAAAGTGTTTTCAGCGAGGAGGGAAAGGCCTTTTCTGGCAATGACTCTAGTCTTCGACAATCCCTGAAAGAAAGTGTTTTCAGCGAGGAGGGAAAGGCTTTTTCTGGCAATGACACAAGCCCCGGACAATCCGAAATATAAAGGTTTTCTAGAGAGGAGAGGTGTCGAAGTCCATTTCCTTCTAAGAAGTTCATTTCAGAGAGACTTTTGAAACATAGACGCACAAGGGAAACTGGCAACAACGGTAACATGTTCACAATATCATCATCACCCCTAATTTGCAATGATGAAAGAGCAGTGAGACATTGGATACCCCACTCTGTTACCGGTTTTGTTATCCCCACAGATTCAATATAAACTGTTTGTAAATTGGGAGGTAAGAAAACTCCTTCACATAATGATAAATTCAAATTTGGAAGATTGTAGAGAGAGAGAGATTCAAGAGAGGCGAGGGTGTCCATCCGTTGAGGTAGTGATATAAGTTCCTTGCAATCATAGACATAAAAAGATTGGAGGGTTGACGAGCTACAAGAAGAAGTTTCTGAAATAAAAATCGATTCCAAACTGCTACATTTCCTGATGTAAAGATATTGGAGCATAGGAAAATAGTTCAATGGGAAGGAGGTAAGTGCACTGCAGCTACTCTCTAAATGAAAAAACTCAAGTGATGTGTAATTGCTCCACGTTTCAAGAGGTAGGAATGTTAAATTCTCACAATCAATAATATAAAGTGATTGCAAAGAAGTGGGTAAACTGTTTGTCGGAAACGCAGTGAGAGAACTAATACCATAGAAAGTCAAGCTTCGAAGACAGGTACTGTTAATTATAATTTTAGGTACAAATTTTAGCATATGACAGCTCCTTATGCTTATATGTTGCAGAAGACATGGAGAATCACTCTCAAGCAATGAGCATTGGGTTCTCTCAGTATTGCTTTCTGAATTCAAATCTCCTTTAATATCAAGCTTTTTTATTGAGGAGAGCCAGTGCTGAGAAGGTGGTGTTGCCAAGAGATGATCACAACCATCTATTTTAACCTTTTCTATGGAAGGAAGTTGACTAGGCAGATGTCCCCTCAGTTCGGGGCAATCAGATAACTTCAGAGTTTTCAGAAGAGGAAAAGGAAATATGTTGTCTTGAAAAGGAAGCCATTCCTTCCAATTTGACATTTTCTCAATTACAAGCTTCTCAAGGGAAGAAAATGGTTGGAATGGAGAGCTGGAACTTCCTGCTGCCATGCCATAGAACTCCTGCCCAATTGTATCCACAAGTGTCATTCTACTAATGTGCAAGTCCTTGAGAGAAGCTAGTTGCCCTAGAGGTGGAAGTGTCGGGCTATTCATGCAATTATCAATGCAGAGGGACACCATATTAGAAAATGAGGGATCTCCCAACCAACATGGAAAACTTGTCCCACCATATAAGTCAATGCTCAGCTTCTTCAGGTTTGGTGATGGCTGTAACTTATTAAGCACTTCTTTTCCTTTAAGCGACTCATCAACTTCCTCGCCCCATTGTAGTGTTAACTCCTCAATATGTTCTTTGCTCTTCAAGTTGGTATCACTTACCTCCATGACATCAATGACATTTTGCAGGTTCTTGATGAATAATTTTCCCCGTAGCTTAGGAAACTTCCCAAGCTCTCTAACACTTAAACCAATATTTTTCTTGCCAACTACAAAAACATTTAGAGTTTGAAGGTTTTCTAGTTCAGAAATTTTCTTCGGCATCTCTATTATGCTTGTCATATCAATGTAAAGATGACGCAAATTAATTAATTTTCCAACATGTTCTGGCAATTCTGTGAGATTTGAGCAGCAAGATAAAATCAAGGTTTGCAAGTAGTAGAGGTTGCATATGGTGTCAGGCAAGCTTGTGATATCCGTGTAAGAGAGATTTAGATAGCGCAACTGCACTAAATTTCCAACTGTAACGGGTAGCGCTGTGATGTTTCTATATTTTGATAACGATAACACACGCAACCTTCCAAATGTGGGTAGCAAATCATCGACCACCTTTCTTGATAAAGAATAAGATTCCCCTCTATAGCCAATGGCAAGAAGGCTTCTCAAGCATTTGAATTTGTGGAAAGTCTGGAACTTCTTGAAAATGTCATACTCTTCTTGATTATATGACAAGTGGCGAACATTTTCATAGCTCTTAGCGCCAAATTCAAGTCTGTAACAAGTTTTTCCAGATACAGCAGTAGCTAAATCATTAACAAGGTCATGCAAGACAAAAATTTGGCCATTCATATCATCATGCAATTGTTGAATCAATGATCTGGATAACAATTCCGTAAAACACTCATCACCTACTTCTTCCATGGTTTTTCCGTCTTGAGAATGATCAAGGAAACCTTCAGCCATCCACAACAACACCAATTGCTCCCTATCAAGTGAGTAGTCCTTTGGAAAAATAGAACAATAGGAAAAACACCGTTTTAATTGAGAGGAAAGATACTGATAACTCAGGCGCAATGCAGGAAGAATATTATCATTCTGTAAGTTCCATATGTCACTGTTAAAAACTTCAATCCACTCTTTAGTATCTACTTTCGAACGCAATAGTCCTCCAAGTGTTTTCGCAGCAATTGGCAATCCACCACTCTTTCTTGCAATCTTCCTGCCAATCCCTTCTAGGTTACGGCGTTGAGTTTCAGAAAAGTTTCCACTTCCAAATGCATGTTTGGAGAGTAAAGACCAGCTGTCTTCATGTGACAGAGGATCTAATTTAAAAATAGGAAATGTGCGGGCAGCATCTGCCACTTTTTCGTGGCGTGTTGTGATGATCACTCTGCTTCCATTTTTCCCATAAATCAACGGAGATACAAGTTCATCCCAATCAGAATAATTGTCATTCCACAAGTCATCCAACACAATGAAAAATCTTTTGTTCCTCAAATTTTTTGTTAACTCAACTCGAAGAAAATCAAGATTACTGGTTTCCCATGTTTTTGAAGTGACAGATTCAAGGAGAGTTTTGATTACTCTAAGAACATCAAAATCCTCCGATACACAAGCCCATGCTTTGAGATCAAAGTGATCTTCAACTTTTTCATCATTGTAAGCAAGTTGTGCAAGTGTTGTTTTTCCGACACCTCCCATGCCAACAATTGCAACTACACCCATATTGTTCTGGCTAGTACTGCTTTCTGATAGCAGCATGTTCATTACTTTCTCTTTGTCATCTTTCCTACCAACCATGACAGATTCATTAACCATAGGACTTGAAGGTGTTCTATGAGAAACTCTGACACTTTTAGTTTGCAAACTCAGTATATCTTTATTTTCAGCAAAACGTTTCAGGGTTTCACACATATCTTTCATCTGGGAATTGATGTCACCATAGATATTTTTAAAAGGAGAAGAAAGGATGTTCCAGACCTGTTTAGTTTTGCTTGCAGCTTGTGTGTTCTCCATCTTGCATCGAAGGGAATCATAGTTAATTTGGTTGAGCAGATCTTCAGCATCGTAGACAACATCTTTGAAGCCATCAAGCCAATCTTTGACAGAAGGAGTATGGATCTGCTTCTCCTCTGCAGCATCTAGGAGAGGTTGGAGAGTGAGTAGTGTTAGTCTTATCTGTTTCAAAAGTGAGAGATCGAGCTTGGTGTTTGTGATGTAATCAAGAAACTCTTTGGAAGCAAGTTTCTCAACTAGGGTCTGAAGAGTTGCAGAGAGAAAAGCACTTCCAATCATAGTTGCAGCCATGTTGTATTAGCAAAAGATTGAAGGAAATCAAGATCTGTGTGAATGGATAGCAAAGAGTGGTATGTGATAGAAAGCAATAATTGATATTAGTAGAATATGGTGAGAGATGATTGTGACAAAAGTGAGCATTAAAGTAATGTAATAATGTGGTGAGAAATGATAGAAAGCAATAATTTCGTACAGTTTGCACATACAATGCTTTTGTAACTTGTTTGCTTCAAAACTGATGGGAGTACTTATTGACAGATGACCACCAGGATAAACTATATGAAATTTTATGTTCTTTCTTGTGGCAGAGAAAAAGGAGATAATATATTAAACTATATTCAAAAAATTTATATAAGATTTCATGATTATCCATGGAATGCATACTTAGTTTTTTTATAGTAATAGTAACAGTAAAGAAGGAAAGAGAAAAAGAATGCTTGTTAATAACTCAGTTGGTTAACTTATTATTACATCAACATTGTAAACCTGTGTCCTAGTTAATCACAATGATGAAATTGTAAAATTACTTTTGGACTGATATATACGAAATCATCAGCATCTCAACAAGTATATCCCTATCTTACATATCATTCTTCTTTGAAATGTTTATCAAATGCAAAAAAAAAAGGCTGTCCAACATTCAATTTACATGTGTAAAAGAATTCTAACACAAAAAAGTGACTAGATATTAGTCTAAAGATCTATCTTTGATGTTTGATATATACATGTAAGGTTCAAGAATAAGTATTTGTTAGTGTAAAAGTCATGAGTTTATGTCCTAAATTGTTAGCTGTTGATAACATATTTATAGCCTGTGCCACTACTGTGAGTTTATGAGAGGTTCAAAAGGAATAAATCAATTTTTTTTCGTACACTAAGTGATAATAATCACTAGAAACTCATACAATTATGAGTATCAGAGTTTGAACTCTAGTTATCGTTGAGAATAATAAACTCAAGTATGAGTTAGAGTCTTAGATTGGTTATGTTGTGAATTAGATACCTTATAATAAAATATAAACGGTTTCTTTATAATCAAGAAACACACAAAGGTTAGAATTAACAAAGATAACAAGGTAAAACAACAAGGAACAACAATGATTAGTCATTAAACTGCGATAATTTCCTTTCTCTTAGAACAAGATTACAAATATATAAGAATAACAAAATAACCCCTATCTCTTGAAATTAGAATTTTATCTTCCTATTTTTTCTTATGTCAAGATTGAGAAACTAGCATCCTATTTATAAGAAAAATAGCACACTAACCTAACAGGCTTTTTAACAATTACTCATTACAAGCTAACTTAAACAATTGAACTTACAAGCAAGGCACAATTCAACATGCCAACAACCCTAGAAATATTGACTAATGCATGTTAGAACAAACATCAACTACAACATGCATTACTCCGACAGTAGCATGCTAACACACTTCGACCTCATGCTTAATTCTTGTCGAACTAGAAGCTACCCTTCGACCATACTAGAGTTTGATCCAATATCTCACAGGTTATAAATGTGGAGAGTTGGGGGAACCCACACGATCACCTGTAGTATCTCTCACACTTGTGTTGCTCTTGATCCAATGTTCAATACTCTTTAATGAAAAACTCCCCCTAACACTTATAGTATTCAATCTATTAATATTGACTTTAGTCAATTGAAAAAAGATTTGTTGACTACAAAATCAAATTTTAATCATTAGGTAAATATATTTTAGACTATCAAGAGTATAATCAACCAACTATTAATAAATTGATTTTTATTGTATATAGCTTGAAACAATAAAATAATGATTTGTGATTGATCATATGGTAAAATAAACCTTTTACAAATATATTTCATCAAAATTATTCTCAAAATTAAAATATATACATAAAATAGAAAGGGTAAATATAAACTTGATATCCCTAATTGTTGGGTTACTAAAATTAGAGATCACATTTTTGTTGTCACTTGTTTTTGTTGGTGCAAAGATAGAATAAATGATGAATTAGGGAAATATTCTATTAAAAGAATGACGGCAGAAGAAACCGTATTAAGAGTTACAATGATTGTCACCCTATTTATAAGCTAAAACTAGGGTTACTAGAATAAGATAAAATACTAAAATACCCTCTAACAAACTTATGGGCTTAAGAAAATATAATAAAATATGAATTATTACTAATACCATCCCTTAATTCATATTCCATCAAAACTTGTAACACCAATTCCATCCCTTAATCTGAGAAATTGATCAGTCTTGATAGCTTTCGTCAGAACATCTGCCAACTGCTTCTGAGTGCTGCAGTGTATAACTTCTAACACTCCACTCTGAACTTGATGTCTCAGAAAATGATACTTGGTCTCAATATGCTTGCTTCTCCCATGCAACACTGGGTTTCTGGCAAGATTGATTGCAGACTTGTTGTCAATCATCAACTTCAGAGGTTTGTCTACCTTAATCTTCAGATCCTGCAACAGATTCAGAATCCACACGGCTTGGCATGCAGTAACAGCACCTGCAATGTATTCAGCTTCACAGGTTGACAACGCCACAACAGGTTGCTTCTTGGAACACCAAGAAATGGGACCTCCCAGAAATTTGAACAAGTACCCAGATGTACTTCTTCTGTCAACTCTGTCTCCACACCAATCAGAGTCTGAATAACTCAGAAGTTCTGACTCATTATTTCCTCCAGAGGGAAATAACACTCCATACTTCAGAGTTCCTTTGATATACCTCAGATTCCTGACAGCAGCTTGGTAATGGGACCACTTAGGTTTACTCATGAACCTACTAACCATCCCAACTGAGTAGCAAATATCAGGTCTGGTATTGCACAGATACCTCAGAGAACCAACCAACTGTTTGAAGGTTGTAGCATCCACATCCTTTCCTTCAGAGTCTGAATCCAGTTTCTGATTTGTATCAGAAGGTGTGACAGCCATCTTACAATTCTTCAGATCAAATCTCTTCAGAAGTTCTAATTCATACTTGAGCTGATGCAAAATGATACCTTTCTCAGAATATCTGAACTCCATCCCTAGAAAGTATGTCATTTTGCCTAGATCAGTCATTTCAAATTCATTCATTAGAACCTTCTTGAACTTGGCTATCTCCTGTTCAGAACTTCCAGTCAGCAGTATATCATCAACATATAAACATACCAGAGTCATATTGCCTTCAGGAGTATGCTGAACATAGACATCGTACTCCATCTCACATTTCTGAAAGCCTTGCTTCTTGAAAAATGAATCAATCTTCTGATTCCAAGCTCTGGGAGCTTGTTTCAATCCATATAGAGCTTTGTATAATCTGTACACCATCCCTTCCTGATTCTTTTTCACAAATCCAGGAGGTTGTGACACGTAAACTTCTTCTTCTAATGGACCATTCAGAAATGCAGATTTTACATCTAAATGCATCAGAGGCCAATTCCTGTTAGCAGCTATTGCAATCACCATTCTGATTGTTTCATGTCTTGCTACAGGTGCAAACACTTCGGAATAATCCAGCCCAGGTTTCTGTAGAAATCCTCTGGCTACCAACCTTGCTTTATGTTTGCCGATTGAGCCATCTGGCTTTAACTTCTGCTTGAAAACCCATCTGACGCTGATGGCTTTCTTGTCTTTTGGAAGTTCTGTCAGCTTTCAAGTCTTGTTTCTCTCTATAGCATCAAGTTCTTCTTTCATGGCCTTCAGCCAGAGCTTCTGCTTAAGAGCCTCCTCTGTACTTATAGGTTCAGAGTCTACTAACATGACACACTGAATAACTTCTCCTTCAGAGTCTACTTCAGTGTCTTGCAGCATGTCAAATTCTGCAAATCTTCTGGGAACGCTTCTGATTCTTTATGGTCTCTGAACTTGTTCAGAGTCTTGAGCTTCAGAGTTTCTAGCTTCAGATGATTGACCTCCAGAGCTTTGACCATCTTCAGAGTCTGGCATATTTCCAGAGTCTGAATTGCCACCAAGATCTGGATTGCCATCAAAGTCTGAATCATCAGAGTCTGGGTCATCTGGGTCACCTTCATCTTCTGAGTCTTCTTCAGAGTTTGAATCAGTATCAGAGTCAGAGTCAATATCAGGGTTTACTTCAACTTCAGAAAATCTTAACTCTGGCCTTTCTTCAGAGGTTCTAACATCAGAATCAGATTGAGACTTATCCCAATTCCAAACTTCTGATTCCTTCACAATCACATCTCTGCTGAATTCAATTCTATTAGTTTCTGGACAATAGAGCTTGTATGCACCTGTACTGTGGTACCCTATCAGAATCATCACTTTGCTTCTATCATCCAGCTTCTGTCTTCTGGCTTCTGGAACATGTTTATAGCAAACAGAACCAAATACCTTCAGATGACTAACACTTTGCTTGTCTCCAGTCCACTTCTGCATAGGAACTATTTCCTTCAACTTCTTCGTAGGACATCTGTTGAGTACATACGTTGCAGTGGCAACAGCTTCTCCCCAGAGCTTCTGAGGAAGCTTCTTCTCCTTTAGCATGCTTCTCACCATATCAAGCAAAGTACGATTTCTTCTTTCAGCAAGACCATTGTGTTGAGGGGTATAAGGAGCAGTAACCTCATGCTCAATTCCATTCTCCTCACAGAACTTCTGGAACTCTTTGGAGTTATACTCACCTCCACCATCAGTTCTAAGAATCTTCAACTTCTGACCACTCTGATTCTCAGCCTTCATTCTGAACTTCTTTAATTCATCAAACACCTCGTGTTTGAACTTAATAAGGGATACCCATGTCATTCTTGTGAATTCATCAACAAACAACACAAAGTATTTATTCCCTCCAATTGATGCTACTGGAAATGGACCACACACATCAGAGTGTACAACTCCCAAGGCATGTTTTGCTCTTGGAGCAACTTCTGATGCAAATGGCAATCTTGGTTGTTTTCCTTCCATGCAAACTTTGCATGACTTTTCAGGCTTCTTAATTGCAGGAATTCCATGTACCAATTTCTTTGAATTCAGATGTTGTAAGCTTCTGAAATTCAAATGACCAAATCTTCTGTGCCACAGCTCACTCTCCTTCTCAGTACTTGTTGCACTAAGACACTCTGAGTCTGCAGTTCTGACATTCACCTTGAATGTTCTATTCCTTCCCTGTTCTGACTCCATAATCAACTTCTGATTACAGTCATACAGCTTCAGAAGATTGTCCTTCATGGTAACTGAGAAACCTTTCTCAATTAATTGTCCCACACTCATCAGATTGCTTCTGATGCCAGGTACATACCACACATTCTGAATCAATGCTATTTTTCCATTGTTCAGAGTCACTCTGACATTTCCCATACCTTCTGCATTAAGATACTTATCATCAGCACATCTGATCTTTGTTCTCTTTTCAGAGTCAAAGTCAACCAGCCATTTCTTGTTTCCAGTAAGATGATTTGAACAGCCAGTGTCCATATACCACCAGTCTGTCAGATCATCAGATTCAGAGGCCATCAATAGCACAGATTCGTCATCAGAACTTCTGGCTATATTTGCTTCTTCTGATTTCTTCTCCTTGTTTGACCAACAATCTCTAGCAAAGTGACCAAACTTCTTACAACAGTAACATTGGATCTTCTTCTTGTCATACTTCTCTTTTCCCTTCTGAGCATTTTTTTGTCTATCAGAGGTTGAGGTTTCTGACTTCTGACCACCATCAGATCTTCTCTTGGCTTCTGACTGCTTCTGATACCTCCTATCAGAAATTGCTTTCAGAGCCTGCTGCTCTACTTCCCTTTCAGAAGTTCTCTCAGTCAAACGCAACTCTTGCGCTTCTAAACTGCTCTGCAGCTCTTCAATTCTCATTGTGCTCAGATCTTTGGAATATTCTATTGCTACCACAATGTAATCAAATTGAGGAGTAAGGGATCTCAATACTTTCTCCATGATTGTTTCTTCAGAAAGAGTTTCTCCACATGCCTTCATCTCATTAGTGATCAGAATCACTCTGGAGATGTATTCAGAAACTTTCTCATTATTCTTCATGTTGAGATTCTCATATTGCTTTCTCAAGGACTGAAGCTTCACCTTCTTCACTGATGCGTCACCACCATAACATCTCACCAGAGTGTCCCATGCAGCCTTTGCTGTTGTAGAGTCTGCAATCTTCTCAAACACGTTTACATCCACACATTGATGAATGAAGAACAATGCTTTCTGATCCTTCTTCCTTACTTCCTTCTGCGCGTTTTTCTGTTCATCGGTTGCATCTGCTGCTACTGGAACATAACCATCAGTGACAAGATCTAGAACATCTTGAGCACCAAATAGTACACGCATTTGGATCATCCAACGATTCCAGTTTTTACCATCAAATACTGGAAGTTTGGTGTTCATGTTGTCGTTTCCGTTCATCTTCTACTTTGCACAATACACTCAGATTTCTCACACAGTGTTTCCCAACCCACAGAATAAAATTCTGATCAAATTTTGTTCAAGATTCAACACGAATCTAAGAATCAAAATCAAACACACAAGACCTCACGTTCACTCGTGTTTCCCGTGTTTCCCAATGAATCTGAACCGGAGCTCTAGATATCAATTGTTGGTGCAAAGATAGAATAAATGATGAATTAGGGAAATATTCTATTAAAAGAATGACGGCAGAAGAAACAGTATTAAGAGTTACAATGATTGTCACCCTATTTATAAGCTAAAACTAGGGTTACTAGAATAAGATAAAATACTAAAATACCCTCTGTTGTACCCCAAAATTTGACCAACTTCTCTGGCTTGAGTTTTATTTCATTGCATTAGCATATCACATTGCATAAGCATACCCCAATTTCTCCTACATAGTATATTGTTTTCATCTGTGCATCTATCCACCAACTCCTGTTCGAGGGATTGAAGATTTAAATCATTTTGTCCCACGATTCCTTGGTTTATGGGTCAAAATTGTTACAAGAATAAATTGAGGTTCATCTGAGGTTTGAGTGCGTGCATTTGCCTCTAATATAACCTTGGTTAGGCAAGTCTTGTTTAGGCAATATGGTTTGAGTCTTCGTTTGAAGGTCTATTTGCTCAAGGTGTCTATGAAGGAGTCAAGTTTTCAAGAGGTATTTAATTCAGTTGTTTCATGATCAAAGACTGACATGATCCATCATATATTAGGATATTGTTCAATAAAGCTCAGGGTGATGTTTTTGGCCCGTCATGACTCAAAGTGAAAAGTTGGGATGAATTCATGTTGATTCAATAATACATTCAAAGCTAAAGGTCGATTCGAGTTTGAATATTTATTTCTCAAAGATTGATTTGTGGGTTATTTCAAAGCTTCATTCAATGAAGAACTCGAGAAGGGTGTGGGTTGATTAATGAAGATTTTGGAATGACATGGAAACTTCAAGTCAATGATCAACAGTTCAAGGATTTTTCATTAATTTAAAGCATGATTCAAATAACAAAGTGGATGTGAAAATTCAAAGTTCAAAGCCCATCTTTACAAGAGAAAAATACATGAAAGTTACATCATAATTTAATTTCCTAATCATTTTTCATATGACCCACAAATTCTAGCAATACGCAGCCATCCAAAGCGTCGGTAAAGGAAGAAAGCAAGAGCCAAGTTTCTAGTCAAGGTGAGGAGATCTCAAACAGCACAACAAACTGTTACTCCAATCTCTGGGTCTGTAGGTTCAAGTACATCAGCAGGACTTAACATGGCTGAAGCTTTGGTGCAAACTCCATACCGAGCCAGTACACTACCACCACATGTTCTCATGCTACACAAGCCTTGGCTATGTAGTGAATCTCCCGAACCATTCCGCATCCTGCAACAGAAAAATAGAACAAAACATCAGCATGAGCCAGGACTTGAAAATCAATTGGAAGAAGCCTGTGAAGTTGAAGATTTTGAAACAGCAGAAAAGGTTAGTGAATACCTTTCTGCCGCCGAGAAGGAGAAATTCTCTTTGCAACTTCATTGAGACAAGCCGATGCTTTTCTCGGTGCTTTAGATTTGAAATTGCAGCATGCCCTCGAAACTCACATAGCTGCTGAGAAAGAATGCTCATTGTATACTGAGGTGTTTCAAGAAAAGGAAGAGTCTCGGTTGCTTCCATGCCATCCGACTGAATGTGGACAATCATATGCCTAAATGCTTCGTGCAGATACTCGATCGGTTTGTAGAGTCGGCGGCATGTCTTGAGAGGAGATCCGTTGTAGCAATGATATTTGTTGAAGATTTCAACCTGTTAACGAGGGATTTCTCGATCACCAGAGTTTTGTTAGACACTTATGAGAAATTATGTTCAAACTCATTCAAAACCGCTGGGTTTGAATTTGCTGGAATCAATTCTTAGGTTGCAACTTGTACAAAACATCATCTGAAAAGTGTTGATAGCTAGCCTCCACACAGGTTATGCCACTACCTTCACACCGAGACAAAATTCTGCTGCCGACAATACCTGCGACAACTTACAAGCCTCGTACGAATCTGCAACAAATTCCCACATAAAAACAGTAACAAACCGACAACACCTCCAGAATCGTACCTGCAAAACGACAAAATAAGTTGTGCCTCAGTTTGAAATTGAAAACAACCAATACACAACCATAGTACAGAACTTGTTGCCCTATCTTCCACTATCCATCAAACTTGTACATGTGAAAACCAGCTGCAACATTGGTGAATTCTTTGCACATTGGTACCTGTTTTGAAGGATACTCCTGCTACGTTTGCTATTGTTGAATTCTTTGCACATTGGTGTCCTGCTTGCAGGAATTATAAGCCTCAATACGAAAAGGTTGCAAGGTTATTTAATGGACCTGATGCAGTGCATCCTGGAATCATATTATTGACAAGGGTGGATTGTGCAGAAAAGATAAATACTAAGCTCTGTGATAAGTTGTCTGCTATTCCTAATTCCATGTTCTCCTTGGCCCTCCTAATAATCATATGTTCTTTAAAGAGTGTAGGTGATGGAAATACTTCCGACTCTTTTGTTGTGAACGCCAGTAGCATGCGAGTGCTCCAAAGGCACAGCTAGCAACAGCAATTGCCAAAGCAGCTCCAACCGGCACCACAACTGCATTCGTCCCGACTGTTAAATCTTCTAGGGTGGCTCCTTCAGCTCCTTCAGTTCCAGCAATACCATTCTCTTTGTACAGAGACACGAGTGTTTTCCCGTAATAATTTCTCAGAGTCCTGTAGACTTCATCCTGGTTCCATTCAATTTTGTTGCTTGTTTGGTCATAGTCAAGGTAACAGGAAGAGCAAAGCTGCTTTGGAGGCCAAACTGTCTTTGGGAATTTGGGATCACCGGTACCTATAGAAGCTTCTTCTTTCCTCAGCCTTTCGTTTACCTTGTTATGGGAACTCCACAACCAGAGTGCAAAGTCGCGGGCTTTGTTGAAAGGACTGGAAACACTTGAACACATCTTGTAAAAATGTTGTCGGCATTCCTCGCAGACAAAGAAGTTGTGAACAAAATCACAGATTGCACTTGTGCTTGGTCGCCGGCTGAGAAGTTGTTAGCCACTGCAAGTTTTGATGCCACCACTGCCATATGGGAAAATGTTGGGGGTGATTTTGAATGTGTCTCTACTTTGGAGGGACATGAAAATGAAGTAAAGAGTGTATCTTGGAATGCATCTGGAACTTTACTTGCAACTTGTAGTAGAGATAAGTCTGTTTGGATATGGGGAGTGCAGCCAGGCAATGAGTTTGAGTGTGTCTCAGTGCTGCAAGGTCATACTCAGGATGTGAAAATGGTTAGGTGGCACCCAACAGAGGATATCTTATTTTCATGTAGCTATGATAATACTATTAAGGTCTGGACTGTTACATTAATCAAGATGAAGGTACTGCATCCTCACATGGTGGCAATTTTTCTGGTGGACATTCAGAAATGTATGTTGTAAAAGTAGACAGCCTCTTCAACACACCAGACAACTTCTGCACAACCGTACCGTGCAGCACCATACTACAACTCTGCTACTACTGCACAAAAAACTCACACCAGACCAAACTCTACATTATTCTGCTACCACAAACCAAAATGGTACAGAACCTGCCACTACTTCAAAGCCACGCCAGACAACCAACCTCTGGGGGGGGATTCAAAAACTTGTTCAAACCTCTTCAAACAACAACACAAAAAAAACTTCATCACAAAAGAAAAAAAAACAACCCTTTTCTTTGAAAACCACATCATCTTCTCCACTCTGTCAATAAAACATCCTTCTTCAAACAAATTAAACCACTTCAGAACAACCATCCAACACCATGGAAACAACCTTCTTCTTCATTGATTAATCCCAACAAACCATGTTCTTCACTGTTATCAGCCTTCTCAAACCTTCATCGTGAGCACCAACATCAAACCTTATCAATCCATCCAAATCTGGAAACCTATTTCCAGAAAATCCATAAACAACAAAACCCATTGGAGAAACTACTTCGACAACCACCTTGGAACTCCATTACAACCACCATAGAAATCTCACAGCTTCAATCTTTTCGAACTTGAAACACCGCAAAACCTCCATCATTCAAACTTCATCTTTCAAATTCATTCAAACTTTCAAACATCAAACAACCCCGAACCTTCGAACAGCCCAGATTCACCTTCAAACACATGAAAACGCCACTCTCACCTTCATTCTTCAACCATCTCTTCAAACCCTTACACAAAATAAACCCAGAAACGCATCTCGCCGCGATTCCCAGCTTCAACCTTCACCAGAAATTCTTCATCTTCCACAAATCCAAGCCGTGAAACAAAAACCCCAAACATTTAACCTTTAAAATCCATTTCTGGAAACTCACCATAAATCCAACTTCCAAATCCCAAGCCCCTGTTCCTCCAACCGTCACCGTTTTCCTCTTCTCCTCTGCGTGCTCCCCTTCCATTTCACTTCTTCCACTGCTCAAACAAAACCATATAACCGCTTCCGCCCCCTTCGACCTTCAACCAAGTCGAACCCCAATCCAAAACCTAATTAAAGTCACAAAATTAGAGAGAGATAGAGACGAAGGGATAGGGATTGAATGAATCGGCGATTGAACCAAGAACAAACCTAGAATTTTGTCGAATCATACGAGGAAGAGAGATTCATGTTTGTTACTCTTGATATTTCGACAACTACTTTCAAAACTCAGGTATCGTTGATGTTGTGGTGTTAGATCCGTCCCCAATTTCCTTTCCCTGTTTTTTCTTTTCTTATTTTTCATTTATTTATTTTATGAATATTAATTCTGGTTTTGTTGTATATATTATTATTATTATTATTATTATTATTATTATTATTATTATTATTATTATTATCATTATATATATATATGTTACTTTCTAAGTTTCATTTTATATTTATTTTTTTTATTTTTTTTTTAGAGCTTTAAAATTATTTCATATTAGAGTTTTGAGATTATTTTCTTTTAGAAGTTAATTTCATTTATTCATTTGTTATTGGACATTTTTCGCCGTTTTGGGTCGATGACGAAAGTTCCATAAATCGATTACTAAATCAATATATTGATAGGTATCGTCGGATCTGAGACCACCTCTTTTCTCTCCTTGCTTCTCGTCCCAACTCGATTCAAAACTTTGTCAAACAATTTTCAAAATTAAATTTCTCTTTGTATCGAATTAAAGAGAGAAGATTGGGTGTAGACCTCTTCTTCTCCGAGTGATGGGATGCCCACTGTAGTGAGGGTGATCTCGACACTCGTCTTTCAATACGAAGACGATTCTAAACTTTTCTCTCCTAAAAAACCTCGGTCCCGTACCGAGCACACTTTCAATAATAAACTAATTTCTCTTTGTATTGAATTAAAAAGAGAGGATTAGGTGTGGACCTCTTCCTCTCCGAATGCTGGGATGCCCACTGTAGTGAGGGTGGTCTTGATATTCGTCTTTCAATACGAAGACGCGACTTTATCCACCATCTCGCTTTCACAACTTCCTTCCACAATTTTCACACCTAAAACCTCAGTCCCGTACCGAGTGCATTTTCAAATCTTTTCACAACAAAAACTTGAATGGTCGTGGAGTGGTTAGGCGTAGGCCTTCTCCTATCCCGAGTGCGGACGTTTACCGTAGGGTTCTCTGTCGCAAAGCACTTACCATTTAAAACCAAAAACATCTTTAATAAGAGAACGAAGTTCCCTTTATATTGAATTAAAGAGAGAGGATTGGGTGTAGACCTCTTCTTCTCCGAGCATAGGGATGCCCACTGTAGTGAGGGTGATTTCGACGCTCGTCTTTCAATACGAAGACGCCTCGTTCACCACACCCTTTTATAACAAAAACTTTGAGACGAAGAATTGGGTACTACCCGTAGGGGTTACTATCCGAGGACATGTCTCTCCCCCTAAAAACAATCCAATCAATCAAACGTGACTTCTTGCCCCGCGCGGCGAAAACTAATCAATCTTTCAAAAGGATATGTTACGTCCGTTCTACCGCAAACAGGTAACGCCTAAGTCTCCAACGAGCGAGCAGCAAAACACCTAACTGCTAGAATGCGCACGATAGCATCATCCATAAAAAACATCAACACACCGTAGGCCGAACTACGACTGCTCTGATTTCTCATGCCAGATGAGAATACGTAGGCACAAGACGACGATGTCTTGGCGAGCACATCCCCTCCATATCTGTAGTTCCCCGAACTACGTCGACTCTGACTTTCTCATACCTATTGAGAATACGTAGGCATAGGACTGCGAAGTCCTACCGAGTCTGTTCTTTCTCTCTTCTTCCCCGTTCTCTCTTTCCTCCTAACTTTCTTGTTTATAACCCTTCTTTTACCCAGTGGAACACTTCTTATAGCATAATGTTTAAGCAAATAAAATCACACGTCGACAAACAAAAGGTTCCCATCGAGTACGATGGATGCGAGGGGTGCTAATACCTTCCCCTCGCATAACCGGCTTCCGAACCCGTTCATGGTTGCGAGACCATCTTATCCGTTCTTTTCTTAAGGTTTTCTCGATATTTTCCTTTCCCCTCATGGGATAAATAAAGTTCGGTGGCGACTCTTCTGTCCTTTCTTTTCGCCCCCCGTCGTTGCGCGATGCATTTTTCGAGTAGCGACAGCTGGCGACTCTGCTGGGGACACCTTAGCAAGCCACGCCTATTTTGTTTGTCGCATTTATGCTTTATTTGTTTCGCTATTTAGTTTATGGTTATGTTTCTTTCTAACTTGTTGGGTTCACTTGGTTTGGTTTGTGAGGATAAAGCTTTCTACCCGAGCTTTCGAGCATACACACTAAGTTAGGAGGTGGATTCTTTCTGATTTGCGAGACTTAGGACTCGTTGAGTTGGATTGAATCTCACCGCTCAGAGGAGACTCCGTCGGAATAATTATGTCTTACGTGTAGTCGTAATGGCGTTCTTATCTTCAACTTGAGAGTCCGCGATTCTGAGGACCTTTTGTAGAACCTTATTCCGAAGGTTGCTAAAACATAACTCTGTGTTCATCCTTTTGAAGGGATTACCGTCTTACGAGTAGTCGTTATGATGGGAAACTTTTGAGGGTTAGTGCATGGGACTTTGTTTGAAAAGCCTTTGAAATACCCTCTTAAACCAATAGATTGCTCACCCGATGGGAAAGATACCTTCTGTGGTTGTCTTGCAGGAAACTTTGACCTTCATCCTACCCGTTTGTCAGTATGAACAATTACAGTGGGATCCTTGTACTAATGTTGTTTGGTCTCGAAGCGAAGCGCTGGTCCGTCACCGTCAACAACACAACAACTTTTGATCCCCTGTTGCATTTGCATATTCATTTGCATTTCTTTGCATGTCTTGCATATTGCATCATTATTCATTTGCATAGAGGTGTTCTAATTTTGTGGACGTAATTGCTTCATGTGGTTTTCCATCCGGCTTGTATCAGAATTGAAGATCATTCCACCCAAAGGAAACCAACAGAGACGACCATGGAACAAATTCGAGAAGAGTTGAGGGGAATCCGAAGCCAAATGGGACAATTCATGACGGACATGCAAGTTTTGTTTCAGGATCAGAAAGTGCTTAGAGAAGAAGTCCATCAGTTGAAAACTCAGATGGACCTGATAACGGAAGTCATGAGGAATGTGTTGAGAAAGGAAGGCGATCATGTGCCCGAAGCTGCAGCAGAGATGGCCATCCCACCTTTACATGTGGAACCTCTCCCAAGGCGTGAAGTGCCTCAAAGATATCTTACACAACCTGAGGTTCCAGTATTTCCTCGCCAACAACTACTTCCTGTTTCCCGAGACAATCCTAGGATTATGAGGTATGCTCAAAGGACGAAGCAGTCCGACAGAATGTTCGACCAGATCCCTATGACTTATGCTCAGATGTTGCAACTCTTGCTTCAACTTCGGTTGGTTAAACTCCGGACTATGGCTCCGTTGACTGGCGAGCCACCACAAGGCTATGATGGAAATG